CACTTATGGGGCAGGACTTGCTTCAGTGGGGCTTTGGTGCTCACTGAGTCTGCCCCTTGAGTGTGTCACTTATGGATGGAAAGAGTTGTAATGTGTTATAGCCTCACACCTACCACTGGGTGCACTGTCTCTTGGGTCTCCAGGGACCTGCAAAGTCAGCCATTGTCTGGGGCCATTCAAATGCAAAAGCTGCTGCACAAAGCTTGGGTGGGGTTATAAATTGGGTGGGGCACGGTCTCAGGGAATCACCAATGCAGAGCAAACAGAAATTGCTGCCAGTCAGCCCAGCACAAGGGAGGTCCCAGCACACTGCCCCTGAGTTCCTGCCCCAGTGCTAGACTGTCCAGTTTCTCCCTGTATGTGTCTGGGTCCACCAGAGCCTCACCTGGCACTGGAGTTCAGAGCAAGTAGGAGCTTGTAAGTTCAGTTCATGGTGCCAACTTTTTAAGAGGATCTGCTGGGTCTCTAGCAGTCTGTGTGTCACTCGGCCCCAATCAGCACCAGTTTTTGTAACCCATAGTTCTTACTGCCCATAGCGACTTCTTTCCCTAGCTCTGGGACCCTGGGCTTGGAGCCTGGTGTAGGGCTGGGAACCCTCACTCCTCAGAGGTGATCTCTCTCCCAATTAAAAAAGTGGCACACGAGGGTGCTGGACCAGCCTATTCCATGCTTTCATACCTCCTACCAGTCTCGATGTGCTTTCTTCTTTACTTCTTTAGTTGTAGTACTTACACTCATCCAAATTCCCCATGGTTCTGCATGATAAATGTTGTATATTTTAGTTGTAATTTTGATGTGGTTGTGGGAGGTAGCAAGTACAGACACTTACCTATGCCGCAATCTTGGTTCTCTTCCAAGATAAGGTTTTGAATCCAGGCACATCTAGAAACAAATCTTGGTTCTTCTACTTTACTTTTTATCAGACTAATCTCTCATTCTTGATTTTTTTTTTTAATTAGAATAAAGTTGAAGATTTATGGTAAAGGTTCTGCTTTTTTTTTTTTTTAATCAATCTTTATTGTTCATATTGTTACAAAGGTTCCTCATTTCTTCCCCCCTCCCGCAGGCTCCCACCCCACCCTCCGCCCTCCCCATCCCCCATCGTCCTCACCCACAGGTGCAGTTTATGTTCAGTCTCTTCCTCCCTCCCTTTCCCTGACAGCAAATCCCCACCCCCCAGATAGTAAATCAGTTACTTAGCATTTTCTCATATCAATAATACCACCACATGCCCAATGATACATTTCACACAAAAGACATTTCCAAATAGGTCAACCAGCCTCATCCAGGCCCCACCCAAGGCACTCACAGATCAACACTCCAGCCCTATACTAACTCAACACATCCAGATCTAAGCCTTCATCATTTGATTCAGCAGACCCTCAAGTTCCCACAAAAGTTTCCAGCCATGTCTGAGAGGCAGCCATGGGGCAGGGGCAGGCAAGGAGCGAGCTGTTCCGGGCCTGGCTGCTCCGGGCCTGGCCTCTGTTGCTCTGGTTCGTTCCACAACCAGCTGCTCTGGGTCTGGTCACCGCCGCTCCCAACCTAGTTGCTCTGGACCTGGCAGCCGCTGCTCCGGGCCTGGCCGCACCAGACCCGGCTGCTCCGGGCCTGGCCGCTCCCAGCCTGGCAGCCGCTGCTCCGGGCCTGGTCGCACCCAACACGGCTGCTCTGGGCCTGGCCGCTCCCAGCCTGGCAGCTGCTGCTCCGGGCCTGGCCGCACCAGACCTGGCTGCTCCGGGCCTGGCCGCTCCAAGCCTGGCAGCCGCTGCTCCGGGCCTGGCCACACCAGACCCGGCTGCTCCCTGCCTGGCCGCTCCCAGCCTGGCAGCCGCTGCTTTGGGCCTGGCCACACCAGACCCGGCTGCTCCCTGCCTGGCCGCTCCCAGCCTGGCAGCCGCTGCTCCGGGCCTGGCCGCTCCCAGCCTGGCAACCACTGCTTTGGGCCTGGCCACACCAGACCCGGCTGCTCCCTGCCTGGCCGCTCCCAGCCTGGCAGCCGCTGCTCCGGGCCTGGCCGCACCCTACCCGGCTGCTCCGGGCCTGGCCGCTCCAAGCCTGGCAGCCGCTGCTCCGGGCCTGGCCGCACCCTACCCGGCTGCTCCGGGCCTGGCCGCTCCAAGCCTGGCAGCCACTGCTCCGGGCCTGGCCGCTCCCAGCTTGGCAGCTGCTGCTCCGGGCCTGGCCGCACCAGACCCGGCTGCTCTGGGCCCGGCTGCCCTGGGCCCGGCCGCTCCGAGTCTGGCCGCTCCCAGCCTGGATGCTCCAGGCTTGGCTACTGCTGTTCTGGACCTGGCTGCTCCCAACTCGGCTGCTCTGGGCCCGGCTTCTCCGGGCCCAGCCACTCCAGGTCTGAGTGTTCCTGGACTGGCCACCCTGGGCTTGGCTGCCTCCGCCTCAGGCCTGGCTGCCACTGCCCCAGGTCTGGCTGCTCCAGTGCTGGCTGTTGTTGCTCTGGTTCTGGCTGCTGCTGCTCTGGGGCCTGGCCATTGCTGCTCTCGGCCCGGTTGCCATTGCTTTGTGCCTGGGAACTCTAGGCCTAGCTGCCGCTGTTCCAACATTCTGTCCTTTTTTTTTTTAAACGCATTTATGTTGCAATATTGGCTGGTGAGTTGAGTTCTGACTTAGTCTTTGATTTTTCAAGATCTTCTTTGTATTCTTTCTTAAGTAATTTTACTATCTTTTGCTCTCACTTGATTTCTTCACATTGAGAACTTTGGTTTCTTCCTCCTTGTCCTGGGAGCTCAGCAGGTTGGCCTGTGGCACCCCTTTGTTCTCCGCGGGCTCCCGCGCTGCTCCAGCCTGTTGCCGGGGTCGGCGCCGCCCAGGAAGCAGCCCCCAGCCTTGGCTCCGTTGCCCGCGCTCAGAGGTCGATGGCTCAGGGGCACCCCCCCCCCCCGGGGGCCCCAGCCTGGCTGGCTGGTGTCCTACAGGGGATCCTGTTCCCTGTCGCATTCCTCCAGTCTGGAGCTTTTTTTTTTTTTCTCCTTCCCGCTAGGGGAGTCTAGGATCAGAGTCAACAGACTGTCCTCTGCGCGCAGTGCGCGCGACTCTGGGGGATCTGCTTTTCGCCACTCCCCTGGGATTCCTCCTCACAGTCCCATCTCCCCCTGCCTGAGCCTGGGTCCCCAGGGTCTGGTCCAGGACTGGGGTTCAGAGCAGTCCGGACTGAGGCTCAGCGTCGCCGGAGGCTTTGTTTCTTCCCGCTAGGGTGATCCAGCATCAGAGTCAACATTCAGTCCTCTGCACACAATGTGCGCGCGACTCCGGGGGCCCTGCTTTTCGCTGCTCGCTTGGGAATCCGCCTCACAGCCCCGTCTCCCCCGCTGGAGCCTGGGTCCCCAGGGTCTGGCTCATAACTGGGGGTCAGCGCTGCTGGTTCGGGGGTTTAGCCCAGGATGGGGGTTTTATTTCCTTCCTGCTAGGGCACATGTGTCAAACACAAGGCCCGCGGGCCAAATCCGTCCCACCAGGCCTTGCAATGTGGCCCACACCGCACTGTCATCACTGCACTCCGCTGCGTTTCCATCACAATGACAGTTTATGACTGTTCAGTAAACCATTTGGCCCGCGATTTAGGCTGGATTTTAGATTTTGGCCCCTTCTCTGATTGAGTTCGACACCCCTATGCTAGGGAATGCCAGGCAGCACCCAGCCCTCTCCTCCTCTCCGGCTGCGACCTCTCCCTGTGCGCGCGAGCGTGCATGCGAGCGCACAGCATGTCTCCGTACCTTAGGCTTTTTTTCAGATCCTCTGATTTTCCTTCTGGTTTTCTCTTTCCTTCTTGTTGTAGAATTTTCAGTCAGTCGACTACCTGTAGCTCTGGGCGATGTCCACTCTACATTTTAGTTGTGTTCCATTGAAATTGTTGTGTGCTGCTGCGGTTAGGTGTCTACCCGAGCAGCCATCTTGGATCCTCCAGGTTCTGCTTGTTTTATGAGAACCCCAAGAACTCCTCATCGCTAGAGTCAGAATCTAGAAAGCTCAGATCCTCACAATCACTAACAGGACTTTCGTCACTACTGGTGCTGGTACCAGTATTTTCTTTTTTTTTTTTTAATATATTTTATTGATTTTATACAGAGAGGAAGGGAGAGAGATAGAGAGTTAGAAACATCGATGAGAGAGAGTCATCGATCAGCTGCCTCTTGCACACCCCCTACTGGGGATATACGTGCAACCAAAGTACATGCCCTTGACCGGAATCGAACCCGGGACCCTTCAGTCCCCAAGCCGACGCTCTATCCATTGAGCCAAACCGGTCCCGGCATCCAGTATTTTCATATAACATATCATCTTCAGTCCCATCTAAGGCATTGCTGATGCCACATTTTTTGAAGGAATGTACAATGATCTCATCCTTAACTGAGTCCCATGAGGTTTTCACCCACTCACAAACTTGGGTAATAGTGGGCCTTTTCATTCTTCCAGTACCGGTAAGTGTAAGATCATGATTACCAGCAGCCATCCATTTGTTCCACTCTTCCCTCATAAACACTTTAAATGGTTTGTTGATGGACACGTCCAGAGGTTGCAGCTGGCTGGTAAGACCACCGGAAATTACAGCTAAATGAGTTTTGACTTCTCTAAAGTTCTTTTTTGTAGTGTCGGTGATATGTGCTCTGAACTGGTCAAGCACTAACAAGGATGTTTTTTTTAAAAGCCCGCCTGGACGCTTGGACCACACTTTTTCAATCCAGAGCCTCATTCCCTTTTCATCCATCCATCCTTTGTCATGGACATGCACCACGACTCCCCAAGGAATCGCTTCTTTTGGAAAAGTTTTCCTTTTGAAGATGAGCATTGGTGGCAATTTAGTATCATCTGCACAGCAGGACAACACAAGCGTGTAATGGGTTTTCTCATACCCTGAAGTTTTAACGGTTATAGTTTTTGCTCCTTTGTGGTCTACTGTTCTATTGGATGGCACATCAAAAGTAAGTGGGACTTCATCCATATTTCCAATCTGGCTTAGTTCAAATTGATTCTTCTTTCTGACATCAATGACGAATTTGTGAAAAGACAAGATCTTTTCTTCGTATTCGTTGGGCATTTTTTGAGCAATTTTTGTTTTGGTGCGCATAGCAAGGCCAGATCGCTCCATGAATCTGTAGCACCATGATGGTGAGCCAGTGAAATTTTGAATTCCTTTTTCCACAGCAATGAGTTTTGCTTTATTTATGATCATTTTTGTGGAGACCAAGAAGCCACTTTCACGGTAATGTGTGATCCACTCCTTTATGTCCACCTCCAACTCTGGCCACTTTGCAGCATGCCCATGTAAAGTGTGCTTACTACTTTTCTCCAACTTTTGCAGCTGATCCTCCTGTTTCCTCCACTCTCTTATCATCTTTTCAGAGGGAGGTGGTCCAAAGTGTCTCTCTGCTGCCCTGTTGCCATGCTCCTTTGCATATTTTATAACTTCCAGTTTGAAACCAACTTTATATGTGCATCTCTTCTGCTTGGACATCTTAGTGAGGGGGCGGTACTGGTACCGTATTTCCAGTGAGGATAGAAGTTCAAAGTTCTCCAGCATCACATTCAGGTACAGCTGTCTCTGACCCTCATCAAGGAGGCTCCATTCCTCCCTGGAGAAGTACAGGGCAACGTCCTCAAAGGTCACACCAACCTCAGCCCCGCGCCTCGGGGCGGGAGCCGCCATCGGACTGTGTGTGCGGAGCCCGGGGTCGGCGGCGGGGGAAGCGGCCTCCACGGGAATGGCGGGGCCTGTCCGGGCCCCGGAGCGGGTCACCCGGGTGCGGACACCGGGCTTCACCCCCGCGAGTGCGCTGTGGGCGCCGCCACTCCCGCGCCTTCTCTGTGGGGGCATCGCCACTGGGACCCAGAGGTCTGGACCCACTTCCAAGTAGCTGGGTGGAATCACAATGCCACTCATTCTTGATTTTTTAATAAGAAAGGAATATTTTGTGGTATGTTCTTGTGAGTCTTAGGGAAAGCACTATTAAAAGCTCATAACATTATCCCCAATTAAGTCACAAAATTACTATTAGATTTCTTTCAAATATGCATAGAGAAGCAATATTTTGCATAATCAGCTTCTTTGGTAAAGATACAATTTATGGCTATAATTCAGAGATGCATTCAGAGTCCTGGATTGATCTTTAGTGTTTAGTTTATCTCTCTGGCAAAATTAAATGCAAATTGCAATTGCATCATTAGGATTCCATTTGAAAACAAATGAAATCCTCTCTGGCCAATAACTCAGCACATATGAGTACTTAAGAAGATACAATATGATCACCTCTATCTCCTAACATCAATATTATTAGAAAGGTGTTTCAGTTATATTTAGTTATCTGATAGAGATGACTAAAGATAATTATACAATGTTGTTATCTAACCAGCTGTTGATTGCATTATTGCCCAAATTCTTTATCTCTCCCTGTATTCAAAGCCTTTGTTATATATCTTTTGACCTCCTCCATTAAAAGGTATATTTTCCCATTCAGATTCTGAGCATAGCCATGTGACTTTCTTTGGCAAGTAAAATTCTGGAAGACAGTAAGAAAATAAGGATTGTAAAAGCCTTTACTTGTTGTACTTTTGTGCCTCTGCCATAGTCATAAAAATATGTATCTTCTTCCAGACATATGAGCAACACCTGATAAGAATTTGATTTCCAGTTATTGTCTCAGGCAAACTAGTCTAAGTCAGCCAACAGCTGCTGTGTCCACTGAGATGAACAAAGCTGCTTAGCCAAGCACCCAACACACAGTGAAAGCAATAATAAAAAAAAAATTTAAAAAGCTTGCTGTGTGCCACTGAGTCTCATGGATGTTTGTTACCTAAGATTACTGCAGTGGTAGATTACCTTAGAACATGCTCAACTTGAAGTTTCTCCTAAAAATACTCTATCACCCATAAAGTATATGCCATTTTGTTTTGAGAAAAGAAAGTTAGTGTTTGTTTTTTAATAAGAAATAATGGCCCACACTTGTTAATAAACAAAGATATGGATAAACATTGACAAAGAACAAAATGAATATGCCATTTATAACCCAGTCAGTTCTTATCTTTCAGGTTCTTTTTGGCATTTTTATAGCACTCTGTGTTTTATAGCACTTTGCTTTTTCTTTAACATTGTAAGCCTGGTTGGTGTTCTTTAAATGGATTTCAAAGCCACCAGTACGTCCTGATATTTATTCTTCCTACATATCTTATACTGTAGTGCTTGTTCAACTTTAAAATGGGTTTGAGAAACTTTTTTAGAAGGTTTTAAGTCTGTAGCAAATGAAGGAGGAACCATGTCCTAACACTCAGTTAATGAGATACTAATGGTGGTTGATAGAAGGTCCCCTCTTCTGCTATGCACAGACTCCCTTAGGAGAACATTAATATTTCCACACTCACAGACCTCTGTTCTCTCCCTCATACACTCTCATAAAGGTGTGCCTATCTCCGTTTCTCAAGGAAATACATTGTAAATTTTTCTCATGTATAAAATATTCAAACTCAAATTATACAGATGTTTGGAACAAAATAGGCATATGAACCTATAGTTATACTTCCTGAGTTTACAATTCTAGCTCATCCGCTTACTTGTTGTATGTCCTTGGACATGCCATTTAACCTCCCTAAGTCATAAACAAGTAATCTATAAAAGGGGAATTAAACATAAAATCATATGGTTGGCCTCATCAGGGGATTAACTTTATGCAAAATGCAAGAACGGTGCCTGGTTGATTTCAAACTGCTACATGTCAGTTCTCACTCTAATGATTGCAGACTGCTTTACCAAAGCTTTTGCATGTTTTATCTTTCAGTGATATATGCTGAGACAGGGCTATTCACTTCCTCTTTGCAGGATAACAATTAAGCAATATGCAAAAAATAATCTAAGTGCATATATGTGTGCATATATGATATATTATATAATACATACACATAAAACATAAAATGTTCATCCTATAATAATGAAATGGTCAACACTCTAAAAGAACATTAATAAAGATTGCTTAAACAAATGCTGGTATAATCATTTAATGGAATAATATGCATCCATTAAAATTAAATTGCTATATATTACTTACTTTTTAAACTATCTGCAATAGTTTTTTTAATATATTTTTATTGATTTTTAGAGAGAGAGGAGAAGAGAGAGGGATAGAGACAGAAACATTGATGAGCTTGCCCCCTACGAAGGATTGAGCCCACAACCCAGACATGTGACTGACCAGGAATCAAACTGTGACCTCTTGGTTCCTGGGTCAACATTCAATCACTGAGCCACACTGACCAGGCTGCCAATATGTTTTAAGCAAAAAATTATGTTATCAAATAGTGTAAAGATAATTCCATTTAAAAACTGTAAATGCAAATAATTGTTCCTAAATGGTGAAGTCTTTGTGCCTTCTATATTTTCAATGCTTCAATAATCAACAAGGCCCTAGTCGCTTTGGCTCAGTGGATGGAGCCTCAGCCTGTGGATCAAAGGGTCCTGGGTTGGATTCCAGTCAAGTGCATGTGCCTTGATTGCAGGCTCCTCCCCAGCCCAGGCCTTGGTCAGAGTCCTGGTCAGGGATCGTGTAGAAGGCAACCAATCAATATGTTTCTCTCACATCAGTGTTTCCCTATCTATGTCTTTCCCTCTCTCTTCCACTCTTCCTTAAAAACAAAAAAAGAATCAATGGAAAAATATCCTCAGGTGAGGATTAAGATTAATACAAAAAATAATAACATTAATTATGTTTATAATTATCCATAAATACCTATTATTTATTTATCAAGTTATATTTTAATTTTTTTTAATATGAACAATAAAGATTTATTAAAAAAACAAATTTAGGGTTATTATTGAGAGGTACTTATTTAATAATAACCCTAGCCATTTTAATTCTGTATGGCTAGGTTTCTTCTCAGCAATCTCTTACAGCATTTTATTTATTTATTTTTTATCTCAAGAGAATCTATTTTAAGTAAAATAATGTTAAGTGCAATAAACAAATTATTCAAGAAAAATGATCTTAATATAATATCACATGCAATAAACATTAATATTTCAAGAAAATAAGATTTTAAGTATAATATTATTATCAAAACTGTATTACAACATAGTATGATATCACAAACATTGTAGGAAATACTAAAAATCTACCAATAACAGGATTGCTACTATTATATTCTAAAATACTTTCCCACCTCTGGCTCTCTTTTGTTCATCATTTTATGTTGTTCATTATATTCTATAATGACTGACTGAGATCATGTGATATTTATCTTTCTCTCACTGGCTTGTTTTGCTTAGCATGATGCTCAGATATGGTTCTCTAGCGCAGACCACATCCAGTTCCTGACTCCCCTCCACAGTCCCCCCACAGTATCTGGAGTCTCAGGTCCTGGAGGAACTAAGAAGCCACGTCTGCTCTGGGGCTGATTCGGCAGTACACATCTGTGTTTGGTTTGAGTAATTCCTCATAGATGGGGCCTGCTGTCTTGGTGTTAGGTAGGGAGCCCTGGAAGGCAGTTGTTCCAGTGGGACCCTGGCCAGGGATGGCCGCAGGAGGTGGGTGCACTTGGGGATCACGCGGGTCACTGGCCCTCCTAGTCCTCCTGAGGTACAGGAAATAGCCCAGAAAGGCCCCCAGAGCCACCATGACGAAGACCCCGATCACGATGCCAACAATGCCAATGATGCCCACCACAGAGTAGTCCGTGAAGGTTTGTTCTGATTGCACATCCAGTCTGAAGGGGTCACTTTTGCCAGAACTACCGGGCTTGAAGCCCTCACACTAGGGGTGTCGAACTCAATCAGAGAAGGGTTCAAAATCTAAAATCCAACCTAAATCGCGGGCCGAATGGTTTACTGAACAGTCATAAACTGTCATTGTGATGGAAACGCAGTGGAGTGCAGTGATGACAGCGCGGTGCGGGCCACATTGCAAGGCCTGGCGGGACGGATTTGGCCCGCGGGCCTTGTGTTTGACACATGTGCCTCACACTGATAACCCCCAGCGTCCTCCCTCCAGACAGGGTCAATGGTGAGGGTGCTGTTGTCCTGGGACAGCTTCATCCTGTCCGAGAGCAGGAGATTCTGGTTCTTGAAAAGCCACCGGATAGAGATCCTAGTGTCATTTGAGAGGCAGGTCAGGACCACGGTGTCCTTATGCTGTGTGACTGTGGCATTGTTGGCTCAGAGGGCAGGCTTTCCCACTGACTCAGGCATATCTTCTAAGATCCCCAGGCAGGTTGTGGACACGGAGAAGCACATCCTTCCCTTTGGCAGCATTGGGCGGCACTGATTCAATAGTGAACTAGGCAGTGGTGGGCAGGCTCCAGAAGGTTAGGAGTGAGGCCAATGGTTGTCAAGGGGTGGGACTCACTTTTAACCTCATCTAATGGTAGTTGGTCAGATTGAATTCCTTTCAGGCTGCTGGACTGAGGGAGAGAGAGAGAGAGAGAGAGAGAGAGAGAGAGAGAGAGAGAGAGAGAGAGAGAGAGAGAGAGAGAGAGAGAGAGAGAGAAGATAGAGAGAGAGAGAGGGAGAGAGAGAGAGAGAGAGAGAGAGAGAGAGATACACACAGACAGAGACAGAGAGAGAGACATTAATGTGATAAACTTGTGCCCGGACCCACCTAGGAAATTGAACCTGCAACCAACTGAGTGACATGCCCTTGAATGGGAATCAAATCAGTCTGTGGGCTGATGCTCTTACCACTGAACAAAATTGGTCAGAGCTGTTAAATTTTTTAAAAATAAAACTGTTTATTTTGGAATATTTCTAGATTTACCTCACAGTTGTAAAGTGAGTACAGGGTTCCTGTGCACACATCTGTATAGCTAGTCTCTCCTGTTGTTCATAGTTTCCATAACCCTGGCACCATCACAGCTAACAAGTGAATGCTGGTGCCGTGATTGAACTGGACTATAGACATGGTGTTTCACTAGTTTTTCACTAATAGCCCTTTTCTGTTTGAGGATCTAACCCAGGACCCAAAACTGCGTTTAGCCCTGTCTGTGCAGTCTCTCAGTTATCCTTGTTTTTAATGACCTTGAGGAGCTTGAAGTGTGCTTGCTGTGTGGAGAGCTTGGACAGCATTTGGACATGTTCAAGACTCTGACTAATGAGAGGACACAGTCCTCTCATGGCCACATGCAAGTCCCAGCTTGGAGGGCAGAGCCCTCCCAGCAGAATGATAGCCAACAGCTACAGTTGTAAGCTAGAACCTATGGTCCAAACAAGTTGCCACATGTGCCTGAGTGATAAAGGCTGCAAGTAAAAAAATGTTTGATCAGGTGCATGTAATTGAATAAGATCGAAACCATTGAGAACGCTGTAAATATCTTGACCACGTCCTTACTTTGCCTCGTGGCATCTGCTAGAAAATAAAGACTCAGCTTGTGGGCATTGGCTCCTCTCAGCAAGCAGCATCCCACCAAGACCCAGCTTTCAATCTCTTTTCTGTCTTTTTTTTTTTTTTACATATTTTATTGATTTTTTTTGTCCCCCTCCCTCCCTCTCACACATCCCCTCCCTCCCCAGAGTTTTATGTCCATTGGTTATATTGGGTACTTATATGCATGTATACAAGTCCTTCGGTTGATCTATTATTTCCCCCAGATCCTCCTCCCCTCCCCACTGTAATTTGACAGTCTGCTTGTTGATATACTGTCTCTATATCTATCTTTTGGTTCAGCAGTTTATAATTTTCTTTATTATCCATAAATGAGTGAGGTCATGTGGTGTTTCTCTTTCACTGATTGGCTTATTTCACTCAGCATGATGTTCTCTAATTCCATCCAGGTTAGTGCAAATGATGAGAATTCCTTCTTTTTTATGGCAGCATAGTATTCCATTGTGTAGATGTACCATGGTTTTTGGATCCAGTTATCTGCTGATGGGCACCTAAGCTGTTTCCATATTTTGGCTATTGTAGATTGTGCTGCTATGAACATAGGGGTGCATATATCCTTTCAGATTGGTGTTTCTAGTTTCTAAGGATATATTCCTAGGAGTAGGATTACTGGGTCAAATGGAAGTTCCATTTTCAGTTTTTTGAGGAAACTCCACACTGTTCTCCACAGTGGTTGCACCAGTCTGCATTCCCACCAGCAGTGTACGAGGGTTCCTTTTTCTCCACAACCTCGCCAACACTTGTCGTTTGTTGATTTGTTGATGTTGGCCATTCTGACAGGTGTGAGATGGTACCGCATTGTTGTTTTGATTTGCATCTCTCGGATAATTAGTGACTTTGAGTATGTTTTCATGTGCCTTTTGGCCTTCCTTCTGTCTTCTTTTGAAAATATTCTATTTAGGTCCATTGCCCATTTTTTAATTGGTTCATTCAACTTCCTTTTATTTAGTTGTATCAGCTGTCTGTAGATGTTGGAGATTAAACTTTTATCAGTGGTGTTTGCAAATATGTTCTCCCACACCGTGGGCTTTCTTGTTATTTTCTTAATGGTTTCTTTTGCTGTAAAAAAGCTTTTTATTTTGATGTAGTCCCATTTGTTTATTTTCTCTTTAGCTTCCATTGCCCTAGGGGCAGTATCAGTGAAGAAGTTCTTTTGGCATACGTCTGAGATTTTGCTGCCTGTGGATGCTTCTAATATTTTTATGGTTTCCCGTCTGATGTTTAAGTCCTGTATCCATTTTGAGTTTATTTTTGTGTATGGCATAAGTTGGTGATCTAGTTTCATTCTTTTGCATGTGTCTGCCCAATTTTCCCAACACCATTTATTGAAGAAATTGTCTTGACTCCATTGTATATTTGTGCCTCCTTTGTCAAATATTAATTGTGCATAGTGATTTGGGTTGATATCTGGGTTCTCGATTCTATTCCATTGATCTATATGTCTGTTCTTGTGTCAGTACCAGGCTGTTTTGAGAACAGTGGCTTTGTAATACAGTTTGAAGTCTGATATTGAGATGCCTCCTACTTTACCCTTCTTTCTCAGGATTGCTGTGGCTATTCGTAGTCTTTTGTTGTTCCAAATGAACTTTTGGAGAGTTCTTTCTAGGTCAGTGAAATATGCCGTTGGTATTTTAATAGGGAGTGCATTGAACCTAAAGATTGCTTTAGGAAGTATGGACATTTTGATGATGTTGATTCTACCAATCCATGAACATGGTACGTTTTTCCATCTCCTTACATCTTCCTCTATCTCTTTTTTAAGTGTCGTGTAGTTTTCTGCATACAGGTCCTTTACTCCCTTAGTTAAATTTATTCCTAGGTATCTTAATTTTTTTGGTGCGATGGTAAATGGAATTGCTTTTTTAGTCTCTGTTTCTGTAGTTTCACTGTTGGTGTATAGAAATGCCATGGATTTCTTGGCATTAATTTTGTATCCTGCTACATTGCCAAATTCATTTATTAAGTCAATTAGTTTTTTAATGTAGTCTTTTGGGTTTTTTATGTACAATATCATGTCATCTACAAATAAGGATAACTTTACTTCTTCTTTTCCAATTTGGATGCCTTTTATTTCCTCCTCTTGTCTAATTGCAATGGCTAGTACTTCCAGTACTATGTCAAACAGGAGTGGCGAGAGTGGGCATCCCTGTCTTGTTCCTATTTGTAGAGCGAATGGTTTTATTTTTTGCCCATTGAGTATAATGTTGGCTGTGGGTTTATCATATTAATATATAGCTTTTATTATGTTGAGGTATGGTCCTTATACTCCCACCTTATTAAGAGTTTTTATCAAGAAAGGGTGTTGGATTTTATCAAATGCTTTTTCTGCAACAATTGATATGACTATATGATTTTTATCTTTCAATTTGTTTATGTGATGTATCACGTTTATTGATTTGCGGATATTGTACCATCCTTGCATTTCTGGAATAAATCCTACTTGTTCATGGTGTATGATCTTTGTGATGTTCTTCTGGAGTTGATTTGCTAGAATTTTGTTGAGGATTTTGGCATCTATGTTCATGAGGGATATTGGCCTGTAATTCTCTTTCATTGAGTTGTCTTTATCTGGTTTTGGTATTAGGGTGATGCTGGCTTCATAGAAGGAGTTTGGAAGTGTTCCTTCCTCTTGGATTTTTTGGAATAGTCTGAGGAGGATAGGTTTTAGTTCTTCCTTGAATGTTTTGTAAAACTCGCCTGTGAAGTCATCTGGACCTGGGCTTTTGCTTGTTGGAAGCTTTTTGATGACTGTTTCAATTTCTTCCCAAGTCACTGCTCTATTGAGATTTTTAGATTCTTCCTGATTGAGTTTTGGAAGTTTGTATTTTTCTAGGAATATGTCCATTTCCTCCAGGTTGTTCAGTTTGTTGGAACAGAGTTGTTCATAGTATTTTGTAACAATCCGTTGTATTTCAGTGGGGTCTGTTGTTATTTCACCTCTTTCATTTCTGATTTTGTTTATTTGGGTCCTCTCTCTTTGTTTCTTGTTTAGCCTGGCTAGAGGTCCATCTATCTTGTTTATCCTTTCAAAGAACCAGCTCTTGGTTTTGTTGATCTTATGTATTGTTTTTTTGGTCTCTATGTCGTTTATCTTCACTCTGATTTTTGTTAATTCCTTCCTTCTGCTTACTCTGGGCTTTTCTTGTTGCTTCTTTTCTAACTCTCTGAGTTGTAGAGTTAAATCATCTGTTACCCTTTTTTCTAGTGTTTTGCAATAGGCTTGTAAGGATATGAACTTCCCTCTCAAAACTGCTTTTGCTGTGTCCCGTGGATTTTGGATTGTTGTGTTTTCATTGTCATTTTTTTCCAGGATGTTTTTAATTTCTTCCTTGATTTCTCTGGTAACCCAGTCCTTGTTTAATAGCATGCTGTTTAGTCTCCATATGTTTGATTTCTTTGGATTATTTTTATTGTAGTTAATTTCCAGTTTTATGCCATTATGGTCTGAGAAGATACTTGATATGATTTCTATCTTCTTGAATTTGAAGAGACTTTGCCTATGTCCCAAAATGTGGTCTATCTTTGAGAATGTTCCATGTGCTCTTGAGAAGAATGTATATTCTGTGGCTTTGGGGTGGAGTGTTCTGAAAATGTCAATTAATTCCATCTGGTCTAGTGAGTCATTTAGAATTTATATTTCTTTGCTGATTTTTTGTTTAGATGATTTGTCAAAGGGTGATAGTGGGGTATTAAAATCTCCTACTATGATTGTATTGCTATTAATCCCTCTCTTAATGTCCTCCAGCAGTTTTTTTTATGTATTTGGTTGCTCCTGTATTGGGTGCATATATATTTACCAGGGTTGTTTCTTCTTGTTGGATTGTTCCCTTTAGTATTATGAAGTGGCCTTCATTATCTCTTATTATGTCCTTCACTCTGAGATCTAATTTGTCAGATATAAGTATTGCTACCCCAGCTTTTTTTTCGTTTCCATTTGCCTGGAAAACTTTTTTC